TGTGGGGGCCACTTATTGCACGCAGCGTCTAGGTCTTCCCAAAAGCTGATTTTTTCGGCTGCCGAATTGGCCGAATGAGGCACATGGGCCACTAAAACATTGAGGTTGACCCCTGGGGCATCTATTCTGCACGCCAACAAACGCGGCGCAGCCCACAAGATTCGCACTTGCTGAGCGCTGAAGGTGATCGGCTTTCCCTTGGACATACCGTAGGGAGATCCCACGTTAATCCATAGCTCGACGCCGAGCGCAAAGTCCTGGTGTCCTGCTGCAAAGCACACCCAATCTCCTGCCCTCCTGGTGCCCTTTTCGTTTCTACCCTCCTGAATTCCGATAATGTGTATGCCGCTCCTATACATCTGAGTGCGGAGCGCTGCAGCACGGCGTGCTCGATTTCTCCCCTTCAAGCCTCGCCGAAAAGCATGCCGCAAGCTTTGCACGTTAAAAGTGGCAACACGCATGTCTACAGCAACTTGTAACTTGCTGGTCCTGATGTCGCTGGCATGCGGCTCTCGAAAATCCCCTGCCTGGGCGACGGGCCTCCAGCCTGAGAGGCTCACGCACCCGTTGCCGTATTAAACACTGGGGCACGCATGAGAGTCCCTTCTCGCGTCCAAGACCCATTCCCAGAGGCGCGAGTTTTCGATCCGAACGGCTTGGATGACTCTCCGCGGTAGCTCGGGCGCCACAGGCAGGAGCTGTCTCGCTGTGGCTTTAGCCACATTGTCTGGTAAAACATTCCACGGATGGCCTGCGTGGGCCTTGACATGGGCGAGCTCAAGTGAACACTGCTTGGCGGCCAAATCCCAAACAACCTGCACAAGCTGAGCAATTTTCCTGTCCGAATTTGGCAGGCTTTGCCCAAGCGCTGCCCGAATCGTATTAAGCGAGTCGCTGTCCAGGGTGCAGGGATACCCTGGGCGCTCAACTATGACTGCAAACAATGTCCATATCACCGCTAGACACTCCAACGTAGTGCTGGTGGCCGAGCTCGGCTCAAGGTTCATTGCGCTGCTGCTCGCAAGTTCGCCTCTTAAAACTCCACCGTACATGTACCTCCCATCCCTTACCACTATTTTTACCATTGCCCATCCCCCCATCCCCTCCCCTTGTTGGTAAAGCGAGCCGTCGGTAAAATAGTGGACGGCGGAGATGTCGCCGATCCCGTCGTCGGGCGGAAAAGCACGCAGGGCAACAGCAGCCTCCTCCTCTAACACCCCTGTTCTCTGCAAGACTTCAAGCGTTAGTACTTCAAAACAGATGCTGCTGCCTTGCAGTGCTTCTCTCAACGGTGTCAGCGCGGGCTGACTCATGCTAAACTGGCTTTGGCTCGGGAAACTTCTGGCTATGGACCCGTGGGTCCTCACACCGTCTGCCGTGCTCAAATCCGAAGTCTGCGATGCAAGTGTCGAAGGAGACCGTCGATACCCCGATGTCTGGCCCCCTGGCTGCACCGCTATCTCTGCATGGCGCCGGAAAGCCCGCGCCCTGGTCAACACGCTGCCTGAGATAGGTATTGCTGGAAAAAGCTGAAGCTCCTATTGAGGTATTATCCCCAGACTGTTGCTTAATTATTTGACACGATCTAGTCAGAAAATCCTTGCCCCCCAAGATTGAAACCTGACACGGCACATCCCTACCTATTTCAATGTTGCGTTCTAAGGGAGACACTTGTTCTAATTGTTTGGCCCAGCCCACCTGCTTACCCCTCAGGCGCCGCCTTTGCCCCCCACCTTGAGGACCTTGGCCGCAGGGCTGCGCGGCTGCGGCGAGTCCGCTGCCGCCGTTGCCCACGTCGTCCTTGCAGTCGCCCCCCTCGTAGCCGTCGACTTCGATGCCGTCGAAGCCGCAGATGAGCTGCTCGCTGCCGTTGGTGCACTGCTCCTCGTACTCGGACAATCGCCCGTATGCGCTGCACACGCCTGGTCTATCTTCTCCATCTCCTTCTGTACCTGGGAGTCCGTCATGTCGCCATCTTGCGACGTCACCAGCACTGGCTCCTCCTCATTCGGCTCGATCTTCGTCACGCTCTCCTTCGGCGCCGCCGCCGTCAAGTAAGGGTCCTCCTGCGTGCCCCCTGCCCACGGCTCCGTAGGCGAGATTGGCCACGGCGCGTGTGGCATCTCGATCTCCTCCTTCTTGTGCTCCTCCATCGGCGTGGCCGCGGCCTCCGTCGGCGTGAGAAGCTTCTCCTTGTGTGCCATTCTCCACGCAGGCGGTGTGCCTTGCGCTGGAGCGAAGGACTGCGGTGAGGCTGGTGTCTTCGGCATTGCAACCGGCGTCGAGCACCCTCCCACTGGCGTCTTGCCTTCTGGTGTGCGCGGCGCTGGTGAGTCCGCTGGAGGGGCCGCCGCCTCCCCAGCGGCCGTAGTAAACCCCATGGCCTGCTGCTGCCTCAGCTGGTTCTGCTGCTGGCCCGAGGCGGTGTTGATCCACGAGACTAGGTTCGACATGATCTCCTCTTGCCTCGCCTGCCTCTGGTCCATCATGCGAAGAAATTGTAGTAGCCCTGGATCGTGCATCTGCGGACCCACCTGGCACTGCTGCTGCGGCTGTGCCATCTGGCCCTGCTGCTGGCCCTTCATCTGCTGGTCCATCATCTGCTGCGTCTTGTCCATCATCTGCTGGTCGGTCTGCTGGCCCTTCTGCTGGTCCATCTGGCCCATCTGCTGGCCCAACTGGCCATGCTGATGCTGCTGATGCTGCTGGCCGATCACATTCTGTTGTCCACCCACCGCTCCAAACTGGGGTAAGTGCCCATGCATGTAGGGCGGCTGCTGGTGTGCCACGTACTGGTTCGTCTGCTGCTGCTGCTGCTGCTGCTGCTGCTGCTGCTGCTGCTGCTGCTGTGGATGCTGCGATCCAGCAAAGCCCCATGCATACTGCGGCTGCGGCCCAAAGGGGCCTGTGAGCCATCCAGCACCTGCAACTGTCGCTTGGGGCTGAGCCGCAGCCGCCATGTGCAGGTCGTCCACAGGCGGCTCGTCTGGCATCTGCTCCAACTCGTTCATGCAGCTCTGCAACTGGTGGATCTACAGCTCGATCTCCTTCTCCTGCTCGGCTAAGTCCTTGAGCCTCGAGACCGTGTTGTTGAGACGGTCCTTGGCCCGATCGAGCCTGCCCCTGACCTCGTCGCGCTGCTTCCTCACAGGCACTAGGGAGGCCAGGCAAGTCTTCATCACCATCAACTCCATGTCGTGCTCGTTCGCCGTGTCCGTCTTGCCCGCCCTGCGAGCGTAGATCGCCATGCTCGCCACGTTGAGCAGCTGGTCCTCCAGCTCCTGCTTCCACATTGGGATCTCCTGCTGCCTCGCTGGTGTCGGGCGAAAGGCTGAGTGATTCGTCACCGCACGATGTGGCATGGGCGGCAACTTCTGGAAGTAGTTCCTGATGTGCTGCTGCTCTCGCTGTCGTTCTCTCACTGCGCTCTGGCTCCTTGTCCTTGCTCCTGCTCTGGGATTGTCCGTCCAGGCTTGCCCACAGAGACAATGACGATGCCAGTTGTTGACCATCTTTCCGCACTTGCCACATTGCCACTTGTTGTTCATCTGTATTCGATCCTGAACTTGGGCACTGTGATGCTGGGAAAGAAGCCGATACGATCGGTCTAGCGCCACAAGCAGCCGTGCTTGATGACGCTTGGCGCGCTCGCGCCGATGCCGAGCTGGCTCGGTGTCACGCGAGGACAAGAGAGAAGAAATATCTGATGTCGCGGTGCCTTCCGAAGGCGCGCGCGTGGGGCTGGGCCTGTAGAGTGAAGAAAAAAGGACCGCAGGTTGCAGTATCGGATCTGACCTGCGGGTGGTTTAGGCCAAACCCTCTCCTCCTCCTCCTCCTCCTCCTCCTCCTCCTCCTCCCCCTCCTCCTCCAGACCGCGTGGGCGCGGATACGGATAATCAAGCTCGCCGTTCTTGAGCCGAGTGCGTTTGCTGTCAGCTCGTTCGATTCCTCTGCTGCTGATGCCGCTGATCCCGATTCCTCCGTCGCCGCGGCTGGTCCTCCCAGATAGCACCTCGTCCGGCGTCGAGAGGGGCAGGAGGCCGCGGGCTGTCCAGCCGTGGTCGGCGACGATGTTTCTTCTTACAGTTCGTCTCCTCCTGGTCGCTCTGGGCCTGGCAGGCCCCGGGAGGGCGCAGGAGCAGCAGTGGCACGCCGCCGCCGGGCGTCGGCGTGCTACTCCTTCGCGCTTCTGTCAGAGGCGACGATGGGGGCGAACAGCCCAGGGGAGAGCAATGCACGTATTCGGGTGCGCCGATGATCTGTGCCTTCGGAAGGGCTTCCGGGCGAATGCGCGCAGTGCCCGCCCCTGGGCTGTTCGCCCCCATCGTCGGCGCCGATTCTGTCCGCCAGCCCTCTGTCTCTTCGGCGGCATCACGGCCATGAGTGCCCCACGGCGGCGTGTCATCGATATGGTGCCTGCGCCCCCACAGACGTGAGCGCGCGTGCGCGCCGCCCCGCCGCCGGCGGACTGGCGGGGGGCGGGGGGAGGCGCGTGCCTTCAGAGGAGCAGGAGCCGTCATGAGGATCCCAAGGGTCCACACTTCTTCAGAGAAGCACGGGCTGATCCAGCGGAGGAGCAGGAGCCGAGGAGGAGCAGGAGCTCTCGGATGATCCGAAAGGTCCATCGGAGGAGCAGGAGCTCTCAGAGGAGCAGGAGCCGATCCAAGACTTCCAGGACCCCCCCAGGCTTCCCAATGGTCCACGCAACCTGCAGAAAGGGAGACCGCTGGTTACCCCCAGATTCCTCGGGTGTGTCCTGGCAGCAGCTGGTCGCAGCACGACGTCACTCCCATCTTGCACCCCCCTCGAAACGTGATGCATATATTTCTCAATTTCTCGCCCCCCCTCCGATCCCCGATCTAATGTTGAGTCGGCCGCGGCCGCCGTCGGAAAAACTGGACTGCGCGGCGCCCCGCGCGAATATCAAAACTGAGGGGTGCGGGGAGAAGGACCGCGGCGAGAGTTGCATTATTTTTGCAGGGTGGTGTAACCTCGGCGAGGCAAGTACGCTTGGGGCCGCGCCTCCCACGTGACCATCGTGCTGCCGTGGTTCCGGCCGTGCCAGATGGAGCGCACCAGCCGCTGGCAGCTCAAGGACGGCGCGTGGACCAACGCGGACCCTCAGGGCGAGTGGCTGGACGTGCCGTCCGCGCAGTACTACGCCCGGCTCCTGTGCACCCCGAGCTCGGTGCCCCCCCTGCCCGGGCCGTCGTCCGCCCTGGACGGCATGCCCCTGGACCTCATCGCCCACCAAGCCGCCCCAGCCCAACCCGAAGGCCACGATGCGCCCTCCATTTCCAGTAGGGGGGGGTCGGGGAGCATCGACAACAACGCGTATGAAGCCCGTGCCCCCCCCCCCCACCCGAAATTCGGATCTTCTGGTTGGGTCGGGGTGGTCTGGTGGGTAGTCAGGACCCCTTGTGGCGGCCGCCCGTCGAGCTGCTCTTCTTGGAGCTGCACGAGGAGCGGGGAGCCAAGGCTGCGGGGCAAGGCTTGCACCCACATCCAGTGCGTCGCGGACTTTCTTGGAAGGGGCGCCGCAAGGCCGCGGCGCATTGGATATGGATCAAGATCGAGCCTCTAGGGGAAAGGGACCCAACATTCCCAGCTGCAGTGGATATGGAGAGAAGTATCGCCCGCACCAGATTACGGGGGGGCTCGGCTCGAGGTTCGAGGATCGACGTTTTCGGCCTGGTCGTCGGTTCTCGGCGGTTTTCCAGCCACGGGGTGCTCTCCAGGAATTTCCAGGACCAACAAGCCAGGAGGCAGCGTTAGAGGGGGGGTGGGCCCTTGGAGGGGATGTTTAGACCCCGGATCGCCCGCTGATCGCCGAAAGGGACCTTATAGCCTACCCTGTCCGGAAACGTTCGGATGCGCCATCTTTGGCGTATCGCCGATCTGTCGGCGATATCTATATACATATACATATATATACATATATCTATATATATATATATATATACATCTGTACAGAGTCACACACACATATATAGATGTTCATAAATGTGTGTGTATATATATATATATATGTATCGCTGATTCCCAGTCGAGGTTCCCCCCTGAGCTGGTCCCCCCCCAGCCCCTCAGAGGAGCAGCCGATCGCGCACTCCGTCAGCGATCTGGGGGCCACTATCCGCATGGAGCGCTTCGTGCCCTACTTCCTGGACAGGTTCAAGGGCCGCCCAGACTACCCCGGGAAGGCGGGCACATACGTGCTCTTCCCCGACAAGGGGGCGTACGACCGCTACCACTCGGCCGTCCTGGAGCGGCTGAAGCTCGAGGAGGACCACATCCTGTTCATCAAGAAGACCCGCGTGGGCGAGACGATCGGGCAGGAGCAGAAGCTCTTCTTCGACAGGGGCCAGGACTCCGAAGACAACACGAAGCTACATACACCCGAAAGGTCTGAGGCCCGTGCGGACGTATAGCGTATAGGATCGGCGCTGACCCCCCCCTCCCTGGCGCGCGGAGCGCGCCAGGTGCGGCGCCCCGGGGCGCCGCCAGAGAGGCCCCACGCCGATCCAAGGAATCCGCACGGGGGGTCGTGGTTCTGTATGCAGTTGCGGCTCCTCCCAGGATCATCTCGGGGAGAAGAGCTCCTTCGCCGGCTCGGACCACATTCTCATCATCGACGACTTCACCAACTCAGGGAGCACGCTGTTCGGCGCCGTGGACCTCGTAAGGATCCCGGATCTGGGATCCCTCGCGGGAGCGGCCGGCTGGGTGTCTCTGTGCGTCTTGGTGGGCGGTTCTGTGTCCCGTTGGGCGTTTCTGTGCCCACGCTGCTTGGGCAGGTAAGGGACGGCAGATACAGCTTTGGATATCCAGCGGTAGGTAGCTACACCAAGTCTAGCAAGCTTGCGGGCCCACGGGGTCCCCTCAGGGCTGGCTCGCGCGATTGGGCTTGGCCCCCCGGCGGCCCCCCCCGAAGCTCGCGCACCAAGCGTCACGCCTGCCCATGGTCACGCCTGGGTGTAGCCGAAGAGGGCCGGATGCGGAGACGGGGCAGGAGAGGGAGGGGGAGGAGGAGGCGGAGTAGGAGGAGAAGGAGGAGGCGGAGTAGGAGGAGTAGGAGGAGTAGGAGTAGGAGTAGGAGGAGGAGGAGGAGGAGGAGGAGGACGAGGAGGACGAGGAGTAGGAGTAGGAGAAGGAGGAGGAGGAGGAGGAGGAGGAGGAGGAGGAGGAGGCGAACCAGGAGGGCGCAGGGGGCAGGGGAGAGGGGGGCGTCGGGAGGCAGGGATGCGGGAAGGTGTGTTGGGAGGTGGGACAGGGGGTCGGGAGAGGGGTGTGTGTGCATGCAGGAGGCAGGGCACGGCAGCTACAGGGAAAGAATCGGTGGGCACTCCGCCTCTCCCCAAGATTCATTCAGAGTTGGCACGTGCGGGGCAGGCTGCTGCTGAAGTGCAGCTTCTCCAACCTACCGCCGACACTGATCACTGGGGGGGGCATGGACAGAGGAGTTTGGCACGAGTGCTCGCGAACTTCTCCCCGAGGCCCGTGGGAGAGGCAGGATCACGGCATGGGAGCCTGGGTGCTGGAGCACGGGGCAGGAGGCTGCCAGGAGGGAGGCGGAGGGGAGCGAGGGTGCGCGGGCCCGACCGCGAGGAAGCTCGTCGAGAAGGGGGGCTCCCCGGCGGTGTCGATCTTCGTCTCGCACCTGGTGGCGACGTACGACACCAAGGTGACGCGGGGGGGCCAGGAGAGCACGTGCGCCCTCCCGCCCGCTCCCCCCTGCCTCGTGCCTCCGGCCTCCATCCCCGGTGCCTCCACCGCGTTCTCCCCGGGGTCCTCCCTCATCCGTCCTCGTGCCCTCTTCCCTCTGCTCTCTCCCTCCTCCACCGCTCCTGCTTTCCACCGTTCCCCCTTTCATTTTTTTCTCATTCCCGCCCCCCCCCATTGTCCGCTTCCTCCCGCGTCCCGCTTCCGAGCCTTGGCGCCGCGCACAGGAGGGCGTCGCGAGAATGGAGACCTTCTAAGAAGGCTGGGGGCTTCTTAGAAGGCAGGGGCCTTCTAAGAAGCGTCTGGAGGCTTTTCAGAAGGCTTCTTAGAAACCAGGGGGGCTTCCAAGAAGGCCCCTGCCTTCTAAGACGCGTTTCGCCTTCTTCAGAAATTCGCATCATCGCGCAAACCCAGAGTGTTCGCCGCCGCCGACCCCCTCTGCCTCCTCCCACCCCTTCGTTCTGTTTTACCCCGCGTCCCCGCCTCCCTCCCATGCTCCTGCCTACTGCCCCCCCGCCTACCACTGCCTCGGGCCTCCTCCACCCCTTCCTTTCCGCCTCTAGCTGCGCCTCACCATCATCCCTCCTCACTGCCTCCGTCCCTCCTCCTCCCTCCTCCCTCCCCCAGGCCTCCTCGTGCATCCTGCCCCCCCTCCTTTCTCCTCCTCTCTGCCTGCGTACCTCCCTCCCTCCGCGAATCGCGCAGAACGCCCCTCTTCTGCGTCTGCTGCGCCCTCTTCTGGCTGTGGCCCCTGTGCTGCAAGATTCCGTGAGGTCTTGACGACTTTTCGCCAATCGGCCTGCGGGGATCAAGGAGGAAAACGTAGAATTCAGGCAACTCCCTGGCGAATCTAGGTGAACCCAGATACATCGAAGTAAGTCCAGAGATCTTCCAGGAACTCTGACACGACCAGTGGACGTGCCAGCGCGAGCCGATGGACAGCAGAAGTCGTTGAGCTCTCACCGAACGAATGACGAACGAACAACACACACACACACACATCCGTACCCATAGGGGGGCCGTTGGGAGGAGGAGGACTGGCTATGGGTATGGGTATGGGTGCGGGTTGTCGGACCCTGGGTAGCGCTCCCGTTCGAACGGGGTCCCCTGTCCGACAACACGCACCCATAGCCCGCTCCGACCCCCCTACGGGTAGGTATGGGTATGGTTGTGTGTGTTGGTCCGTCAGAGAAGGTGGTGCAGAAGCTCCAGGAGAAGCTGCACTCCCTCGGACCCACTTGCAGGCGCGGCTCTTAAGCCGCGGCCCGCTTCCGGCCAGCGGGGGGCGGGGGCGGGCCCTGGGCACCCCCCTGGCGCCGCGGGCGGGCAAGAGTTTGGTCGGGCCTGTCCCCCACAGGCCGATTTTCGATGACAAATTGAAAATGTTACAAAATATTCAAAAACATATTTAAAAAATAGTCCCCAGAGTATTTTCTGTCTATGTTTGAATATTCCTCCTGTAGAGGGACGGGCCTGACTTAAGGTAAGAGCCACGACCGCGGGCGCTCTCTGTCGACTTCTGCGCCCCCGCTGGGGCCGCCTTCCCTCGGCAACACCCCAACATACTTATACTATATGTGCGTCGCTCCCCCAGGGGCGACGCGCGCACCGAGAAATCTTATAGTATATGCGTCGTGGCGGGCGCTTTCTGGCCACACCGCTCGGGAAACGATATACTACAAGATGGGTATACTATATGTTCGGGTCGGACGCGCGCCTCCAAGGAGGACATATAGTATTAGTATGTCTCTGTGCGTCCCATTCCCAGTTTTCCTCGCGCCGAGAAAACATGCGCGGCGGACGGCTTTCTGCTGCCTTCGGGCCCCGGGGGGCCCTCACGGGGCGCCGGGACCTCCACAGACGACTCTGGATGAAACGGCGGGCACGGAGAATGGGTCGAGACCTGCGTGTGTGTGTGTGTGTGTGTGTGTGTGTGTGTGTGTGTGTGTGTGTGCGTGTGGGTGTGTATGTGTGTGTGTGTGCGTGTGTGCGTGTGTATGTGTGTGCGTGTTTGTGCGTGTATTTGCGTGTGTATGTGTGTGTGTGTGTGCGCGTATGTGTGTATGTGTGTATGTGTGTATGTGTGTATGTGTGTGCTTATGTGTTTGTGTGTGTGTGTGTGGAAGAGCTGCTTGCCGCGCCGGCGCGCTCTGTGTGGAAGAGCTCCCTCCGCCTCCCCCTGTCCTCCGCGGCCGCCCTGCCTGTCCCGTTTTTACCTCTCGCGCGTACCGGCCAGTTTGCCTTTCGGTGGCCGCGAATCGCCACACGTTGGAGCGGACCGCCTCCGCCGCGCCGCAGACGGAAGAAGTGTGTGTGTGTGTGTGTGTGTGTGTGTGTGTGTGTGTGTGTGTGTGTGTGTGTGTGTGTGTGTGTGTGTTCTACGCATCGACACTGCGCGCGAGGCCAGACACTCTTGGATCGGCGCTGGACTCCCTTGTCGGCGCTCCTGGCGTCAGCCCCACTGGTGTGGGCCCGATCGCTGAGCGCGATGCGGTAGCAGTGGCCTCCGCGCTTTGATTTTGCCCCCCCCCCCCCCCTCCCCCCGCCCCCCCCTCCGAAAAGCAGCGCCCCCCATGGTCACATTTGTTTACGCACGCCTTAGTTCGTCCTCGCCTCCCTCTGGTTCCTCCCGCGTGTCCCCTCCCCCTCCTCTGCGTCCTCCTTTACCGCCGGGTAGTTTTTCGGCTCGCGAGGAGCTGCCGCCCCCCTTCGGGCGCCTGCGGGGTGCAGGCGAGGGGGATTCGGCTCCCGACGCGCGCTGAGACTAGCGCTCGCGCGACGGCGGCTCCCAGGGAGGCCGCCGCCCACCATCGAGCGCGACTTCGACGCAAGGAGGATCGCGCCCTCCTCCACGCCTGGGCGGGTCGCCTGACTCCAGGCCTGGCGGCGAGGCTGCGCAGTGCGGCCCAGCGCCTGGACAGCCATCGCGGTTCCTCAGCAGGGGCCATGGCGCCAGCGCCGGCCAAAGCGCAGGAGCAGCAGCCGCGGCAGAGGGTGCTACGAGGTTCGAAGAAGCCATACTGGAGCTGCTCCTGCGGCATGGATGGCAACTGGGCGTGCCGCATCGAGTGTACCTGTGGCAAGCATGCGCCCCAGCGCATCATCAACGCGGCCAAGAAGGCAGATGCTGCTGCACGCGCAGGTGATGCACCGTCAAAGCGAGCAGGAGGAAGCGGGCTCTCCGAGAAGCCCGCCCCGTGGTGCTCAAAGTTCAAGCTCATGGAAGCCGAGCTTGCGAAGTTGCGGAGTCTCGTCGGCAAGAGTGGCCCCACACCATGGCTTCGCGCGGAAGGCGACCAGCACCAGCTCACGGAAGAGAAGAGCGAGAAGGACCCCAGCTTCGCCAAGAGGACGGCCCTGCAGGAGAAGATCAACTACCATGAGCGCGCCCTCAAGGAAGCTGTCAAATATGAAGAGCAGGATGGTGCGGCACACGCGTACCACAAGGCAGAGATTGACAAGCTCAGGGAGCAGATCCGCGACCTGCGGCCCCCAGCAACGGCGTACAAGCTGGCGTCGCAGAAGCTGGAGCGCAGCAGAACGCAGCTCGACAAGCTCACGAAGGATCATGAGGAGATGCTGCTGCAGCTTCAACGACTGCAGGAGAAGATATCGGAAAAGTCGGCATCGATCGAGGCGAAGAAAGTTGAGGTTGAGCAGTTCAAAGCGGAGGCAGAGCGTCATCAGCGGCAAGTGCAAGTTGCCCGAGGTGAAGCTTCCGATGACGCTGGTCCGATCATCCCCGAGGATATCATGGCGCTCGACGTCAACCTCACGGACTTCCAGGAGGATCCAGGACTGCTGCAGTTCTATCACCAGTGCCGTGCTGACGCCAATTTCCAAAAGCTGCAAAAGCTGGCGCAGAGGAAGCTGGAGGTATCCATCCCCAAGTCTCCTGCGCCAAGGAACGGGACGCAAGTTCCTGTTGGCCCTGATTCTGATGACGGCCTTGATGGGTCAAGTAGCGGAGGCGAAGGCAACACCAATGGCGAGAACGGCGAGTCCTCCAAGCGGGCCAACGGCATCCAGTGGACCACGGAGGACGTCGAAGCTCTTCATACCGAGCTATGCAAGGGAGAACACGGCAACGACATCTCCATGGACCAGCTATCCGACATGGTGGCCGATATCCAGAAAACCAAGTTTCGGAAGACAGATGAAGTGTCCGCAGTACCAACAGGAGGGTGTAATTCCTAGCACCCTGCCGAGAGTAAGTGGGCTTCTCGTACGTCGTGGAAAGACATGTGCTGTCCCTGCGCCTGTATCCATGGTGAGCGAGCATGTGTTCGAGACCTTCAATGCCAGCCAAGGTAAGCGGACGCTTAAGCTTCGATTGGAGAGGACTCGCGCGCTGGTTGTTCTAGCGCAAGAAATAGGACACTTTGATTGGGAATGCGAAGCACTCAGTACATGGGCTAGCTCCCGCAAGTGGCAGATGATGGTCATTCCTGGGAAGCCTACAGATGGACATCTCCCGTCAGGCGGATTGGCTATTTTCGCAAGGGAAGGCGTGGGGTTACGAGGCCCTGAGTATCCTGCATCTACGGCGGCCCGAAGACAAAGCGAGACGAATGAGCAGATTGCCTTCGGGTCTGAGCTGGTAGCCCATCGAGCGCAGCACGTGCTCGTGGAATTGGAAGGATGGCCGCCACTCAACGTCTTCAACATTTACCTGCACACGGCCGAGGGCATGACGACGAGGAATGCCAGGATCCTCATGAACGTAGGGCTCGCGATGGCAGGACAACAGTACCCATGCGTGGTAGGAGGCGATTGGAATATGTCGATCGAGGAGGTTGAGGCATCGGGCTTCCCAGTGCACGCACAAGTCGGACTTGTCAGCCCAGGCCAGGTCACATGCAGGGGACCGACCAGCGCAACAACGATTGATTTCTTCGCCCTAAGTTCTGGAGCCATGAGGCTCATGAGGAAATGCCATGTGGATAAGACATGGCATAAGAAACCGCGCCGACCTGTCCAGCTATCGCTATGTGGCCATGGAACGACAATGCAATACCTTACATATGTTGGAGGGACCAAGATTGCACCTGACATAGTTGTGGGCCCATTGTGGTACGACGCCGACTGGGAGTTCGAGCGGAGCTATGCTGCAGAAGCGTCCCGCCAAGCAGCGGTTGCTCCAGTAGCAGTGGCGTGGAAGGTACTATCACGAGCTTGGGGTTTCTGGGCGTGCAAGGCTGCAGTAAGGCTTGGCCACATCACGGGCACGTTCATCAAGGCACCAGAGCATTTCAAGGGCATGATCCGACCCAAGTGGATATCTTATGCATATGAGGGACAAGACGCTGAAGGTATCCAGGCAGTCGCTGATGGCTGGCAATGGTTTGCAGATGCTATCAGAGGGATCGCTATGCTCAAGAACGGCAGAGGCCAAGAGCAAGAAAGGCAACTCGCTGATGAAATCCAAGGTTTCCTAGAGACCGATTATGTGGGCCAAAATGTTAATCATCGTCTAGACGCTTCTGTCACACGAGCAAGACGGTTGATTGTTCATGCCTCAACATCCAGCGAAGATCTACATGAATTTCTTGCTGAATGCGAAGATGATATTGAGTATGCGAAGCAGCAGGCAGACCGAGATAGTGTTGCTCGCTGGAAGGACTGGTGCGATATTGCATGTGCGGGAGGCGCTGGGCGTTTCCATCGCGCAACCAAGATCAACCGTGTGCAGGCGCCAGCGGTAGTATGCAAGACCACCACAGACGGCATGAGCGGACACCCTCACCAGATTGTGCTGGACATGGAAGCCAAGCACCACAAACTCTGGCAGGCGATTGAGGAGGCACCGCGCGTCTGGGTACCTGATCGCAGCACCATGGATAGACCTAGTCCAGGCATGATCAGAGCAGCGTCGGAGGCGTTCACCACGAAGACCTCGAGCAGCCTGGACGGCATCCACCCGTCGCACTTTCAGCACCTGAGCGACGAATCTTCGGAGGGCCTTTGCGACATCTTCCAGGCGGTGGATGCGATCGGAGTATTTCCGATTCAACTGACGTGGATGGTGATGCCGATGTTGCCCAAAGCTGCTGGAGGACACAGGTTGATCATTCTGTACTCGGCGGCTTACAGAGTATGGCAGAAGATGAGAAGACCTGGGCTCGACATGATCCAGCAGAGATTGGACCGCACCTACTGGGGAGCGGCATCGGGGAGAAGCGCAGTTGCCAGTGCGTGGATCCTTGCAGCGGACAACGAGCAGAATGTATGTCAGAACAGGTTCGTGGTAACGATTGTCGCAGACTACAGCAAGTATTACGAGACGATCGGGTTGGACCAGGCGCGTGACAAATTGATGCGCCTAGGCATGCCAGTCCCAATGATCAAGGTGGTCTACAATCAATGGAAGGGGCCAAGGAACATACGACTGCGACTCCACCACGGAGGAGCACCAAGGCATGCGAACGCAGGGCTTCCAGCTGGAGATGCGCATGCAGACTAAGTGATAAAGGCTCACGCCGTCGAACAGTACGACATGTACACGACCTTGCATCCGCTGGTGCGCTTCGCCTCCTACATTGATGACACAGCGCTCGGCGTCAACAGCAGTTGCAAGCAGAGGGTGATTGACCAGGCGGTGGATGCTACAAAAGGCTTCTTCAAGGTTGCACGGGCATTAGGGGCCAGCATCAACGAGAAGCTTGCCATCATTGCGAGCACCAAGGCTATAAGTGATGAAGTCAGTCGCCGACTTCACCTTGATATGAAGATCAGCTTGAAGAGTACGGCGTATCTGGGCACTGACGTTTCTGGAGGCAGGGCTCGGAATGCCAAAGGTACGCGTGGAAAGTTTCGGGCAAGACAGAATGCGCATGGCAGAAGGCTGGGGAAGCTACGGAAGTTCAAGAAGGTGCTCGCTGGCAAAAAGACGGAGAGAATTGGGAAGATCTACCGTGTTGGTGCGAGGCCTGCATACACGTTCGGGGTGGAGGTCAACGGGGTCAACGACGTGGAACTACTGAAGTTAAGGCGGGATTACAACAAGCACGTCAAGCCCAACCACGGCGGCACCTCCGCGAGCGCGAAGCTCGTGCTGCTAGGCGACCCTGCTGCCACCCAAGCACTGGCTCCTGCCCTCCAATGGTCAAGGATGGTGTGGGCCGCCACAGCCAGGCCTGATACCGCAGCTGTTCCACTTGAATTGCTGGAAGCTTGGTGGAGAAGGGCAGTTACCGAACCTGGAGTGGTCAATCAGTGGAGTAAAACACGTGGTCCCCTTCAACGCGCAGCACTCTCAGTACAACGAGCTGGGTGGCAAACGCGTACAGGGTGCCTCTGGATCAACCATCGAGGTGATGAGGTGCATGTAGGGCAACGCACCCCTGGCCTTCTTGAAATGATGTTGAGGCAAGGCCTAGCAGTGCAGCATGAGAAGGCACTTGCGGAGAAGTGGGACATGCAGCCTTACACAAGAGTCACTTTCGATATTCTTCGGCGACACGTCAAGTCCAGGAAGTTCAACAAATACCAGAAGTTCTGTATCATGAACTGCGCATGTGATGGAGTATGGACACGTCAAAAAGCGAAGGAGAAAGGTTACCTAATGGACGGCAAGTGCGAATGTGGGGATGAGGACACGTTGGTGCATAGGCTGGCGGAGTGCACTCGTCCAGAAGTCGTGGAAGCACGACGAGAAGCTGGCATCCCCGAGTCGTTCCTTCAGGAGCTACGCCAAGCGCCAGATGATCGCGTCGTAACCCAAGGGGCCTTCGCATATCCCGAGTGGGAAATTCCTGACATGCAACTCGGCACTGGTAGCGTGATTCTCGACGGTGATGGCAGCGATTTCGATTGCACGCCCGAGACCATGGCTGCGACAGTGCTTGCTGAGACGGATTTGGAGATGGAGCTTTCTTTCGACGGGAGCTGCACGAAGCCAGATATCCTGGAGCTCCAGAGCGCTGGATGGGCTATCGCTTTAATGGATCCACATTCGGACAAAGTACTATGTACGATGCACGCCCCAGTGCCAGCTTCGCTTCCGCAATCCTCGGCGATGGCAGAGTATCTAGCCTACGCGTACACAGGACAGGTGGCAGACCGACCTACCGACGGATACGCGGATTTCATGGGCACGGTCCGACTGGCGGCTCTCACGCACGAGCAGCAGTTACGGTCCAAGTCGGCATACGCGTGCGTGGCCATGTTTGCTCAGAGCCTACCTGGATTCCGTTTCCTCCGCAGCGTGACGCACGTGAAGGCACACCGTTCGGGGGCGGAGTATGCTGGCCTGGATATGGCCACAAGGAGGCTCACAGATGCCAATGTCTATGCGGACGTACGAGCCAAAGCTGGTGCGGCGATGCATGCAGCCATCAGCGAGGATTTCGCGATGGCTATCGACACGGCCACCGTGAGGATCAAGAATTTTGCGAAGTTGGTAGCGGCCGTGCTACCCTTGTTTGATCGTGATGGTCAAGAGCGATGGACAAGGCGAGCTGCCCAGGTCAAGAGGGTAAGGAGTACGCGCACCGATGGATGGCACCAGTGGGAGGAAGGAAGGTTCGGTCTTCAATGCAAGGCGTGCTTGAAGATCAACAGCCCAGGGATGGAAGTTATGCTCAATGGCTGTGCTGGCACCCCTACTTTCCTCAAGGCATTCCTCAACCAACCACTCGGACATCACCTCGTGGCGGTGAACCAGGAGGGTGACGGGCTCAGCGACGACGCGGCCCCCACGGTCTTTGTCTGTGTAGGCTGCGGTGCATGGGCACAACAACGTCGACGGCAGAAGCTCCGGAGGCAGTGCAAGCCACCAACCCGACAAGGCATAGAAGTACTGACGAATCTACGGCGGGGTCTAGGCCCACACAAGACGCTGGCGAGGCACATGGACTTGATGATCCCCCTGTGCAAGCTCATGCCTAAGACCCTGCCCCCTCTGGTCTCGAAGACCTGTGTCAGCCGACCCGTGGCGATGGCGGAGAACACGGGGTACGAGCACAAGATGGCAGCAATGATGGAAAGGATAAAGGCAAAGGAAAAGGCGAAGCGCGAGCAGGACGATGACAACAACACGATACTCGGACGCACGCGACACGGAGATCCTGAAGCGACCAACCCTCAACATGGGGGTAGTGCTTGCACGGGAACGGGGGAGCCCACTGAGTCCATGGCGGCCAGTGCGCCTGAGGCACCTCAGTGTCGCCACGTCAATGGAGTGCCCCCCGTGGCACAACAGCATGGCGATCACCTACCCGCAGCCGCTGAAGAAGGAGTCGGTGATGATGACGGTGCAGGCTGCAGCCGAGACGGAAAGGAGGCAGGAGCAGGGCCTCAGCCGAGCAGCGAAGGCGGAAAGGAGGCAGGAGCAGGGCCCCAACCACATGACGGAGATAGCGTTCTCGCCAGGGACCGCGTCGGAGAGGGGGCAGGAGCAGGGCCCCAGCCGAGCGGTCGCGGCGGAAAGGAGGCAGGAGCAGGGCCTCAACCGCATGATGGAGGTGCGCAGCAGAGAGGACGAGCAAGGCAGCCAAGTCTCTGGGCACTCTTTCAGGCGGCATCGGGACGACGCGCTGAGAGCGGGCAGAAGGACCATGGGCCGAATCCCATGGGAAGGGCAAGTGGGGCTCTCGAGAAGCAGACGTTGGGGGCAATCATGGGCGCCCAGGCGCTCAGCGGCAACCACGGCGGGAAACGTGCTGCTCGAGACCGCGCAGAGAACACGGGCAGCTTCCGAGGCCAGGCAGCGGCTGCGGTGGCAAGTACCACGAGGAGTTCTTCGAGAAGAAGAGCCGAGCCAATAGCAATGGAGGCGCCCAGCCAGGGGCAGCGTGGTCGGCGAGCTGCGTCTGAGGGTGCACTCCAGGGAGCTGCTGGCGCTACGAGGTGGGGTACTACGTGGAGTACAGCCTGCACAGCGCCTGTGGCCCTGGATGTGTCTCCCAGGGGCGGCGCGGAGGCGGCTGGGGTGATCCACCCTAGCCGCCTGTCCCCTGCGCGGCGAGGGGTTAGGCCGCAGCGGATGGTGGCAGCGCCCGACACGATACAGGTCGTTGCCGATGCTACGACGAGGGGCGCTACGAGGAGTACTCCCTGCACAGAGCCTGTGGCCCTGGATGTGTCTCCCAGGGGCGGCGTGGAGGCGGCTGGGGCGACCTGGCCAAGCCTCCTGCCCCCTGCGCGGCGAGGGGCTAGGCCGCAGAGGCTGCGGGCAGCGCCCGACGAGACGAAGGGAGCTGCTGGTGACCCGACGCGGGGTACTACGCGGAGTACGGCCTGCACAGCGCCTGTGGCCCTGGATGTGTCCCCCAGGGGCGGCGCGGAGACGGCTGGGGCGCTCTGCCCACGCCGCCTGTCCCCTGCGCGGCGAGGGGTTAGGCCGCGGTGGCTCCTAGCAGCGCCCCACGAGACACAGGGAGATGCTGGCGTCGCGACGCGGGGCATTACGCGGAGCACTCCCTGTGCAGCGCCAGTGGCCCTGGATGTGTCACCCAGGGGCGGCGCGGAGGCGGCTGGGGCGACCTGCCCTAGCCGCCTTTCCCCTGCGCGGCGAGGGGTTAGGCCGCAGCGGATGTGGGCAGCACCTGTCGAGACGCAGGGAGCAGCTGACACTAATACGAGAGGTACTACGCGGAGTACTTCCTGCACGGCGCCTGTGGCCCTGGAGGCGCCTCCCAGGGGCGGCGCGGAGGCGGCTGGGGCGAGCCGCCCCAGCCGCATCACCCCCTGCGCGGCGAGAGGTTAGGCCGCAGCGGCTCTGGCAGCGCCCGACGAGTCGCAGGCGCTGAGTGCCGCGCTGAGTGCCCGCGGCCGCGGGCGCTCGGGCGCGGCGGCCCCCGAGGGGGCGACCCGCGTCCGCGGGCGTGTCATCATCATCATCATCCTTTACCGCCGGGTGTCGCTGGATGGAAGCCAAAAAGTCTAGGTGAAGAGACGGCCCGCTGCGAAGCCAGTGGCCCCGAAGATGGAGGCCAGGAGCTGCAGAGCCCTCGTCGTGGCCGAGAAGCACTGGCCTCGGCCTCGCGGGCCCGGGAGTGTCTGGGGCACTGGAAGTGTTCCTCGCGCCCGTCCCAGGGCAGCTGAGAGGTTCGTTCTCTGAGGACGGGCTTCATGCACATCCACCGCCTGGGGAACCCTTGCTGCGCGTCGCCAGGAAGACGAGCCACTGGCCCTGGAGGCCAGGAGCTGCGATGTTCGACTACACGTAGGAGCGACCTTTCGCCAGAGTGACCCTTGGCGCGGGCCCAGTGGGGCCCCTGCGATCGTTGAGTGCGATGCGATAGCAGCAGCTTGCGCGCCTGGCGGCATCCCCTAAGGCCCTAAGGGCCCCCTTTGGCCGCGCACTAAAAAGGTCACTCTTGCCATGGGTCATTCTATGGCTCCGGGGTCAGCTCAGAAGCTCATGAAGTGGTTGGTTGCCGAGGCCCAGGTCGACCTCGATGTGCGGGCGAAACAGAACAGTAGCACGCCACTACCGCCCATGCACCAAGCCCCTGTCGTCGACCTCAACTTCGACGACGCAGATGCGCAGGAGGCGGCAGGCGATGGCGCAACGGAGGACGTGGCGCAGGACAAGCGCGTGTTGAACCACATCACGCTGGTGGACGATTTTGTGAGGTGGCCTCTGAAGACCAAAGTCGAATCGTCCGGTATCATCAAGCAGCGGCAGGTGCTCGACACGCTCCGCGACGCCATGCAGCAGGTCTGCAGAGACATGCCCCAGGCGGTGGAAGTTCTGGACCAGACAGCGCGCGCCTTGACGACGAATGGCAAGGCCATTGTGAAGCTGGAGAAGGCCGCCGAGAAGGCCGCAGCAGAGGACCCCCCTGAAGAAGCGACGCCAGAGGCGGAAACTTCCGCCCGCAGGCGGCGCAGGGCTGTAACGGGCGAAGCTGATGCGTAGATTCGAGGGCTGGCCAGCGCTGCATAGCAGGCGGGGAAGCTGAGGTGCTGACCCTATAGTTTTTTCGAGAGGCGCCTGTTGGCGCATATTCTCCCCAGCGCGGCTCTGATTCCCCCCGTTGAGTCGCGCTGTGCCCCGTGAGTAATTCCCGGAGTTGTCATCACCAGCAGCGCTTGAGAGAACCACCGCCCGCGTGGTCCAGACAATCTTCGCGCTCAGGGCCTGCGGGCCCCGTCGCCGGCGGAAGGCTTGCGAAAACGGCTGGGGAGATGAGCGGCCATGGAAGTCGATGCCAGCACACACACACACACCTCAGGTTTGCAACTATCCTGGCGGAGGTGTGGTGGAAGCAGAGGCCATGTCCGGGGCGTGATGCTGCCTTGGCACTCTGCTCCATTTCGGTGAACATACGGTGGTCCACCCAGGCGATGACACCACGGCGAAGTATGACAGCGCCGCCCACGAACCCGATTGGAAGTGCCGCCAGGAAGTGTCGCGCACTCGTCCCATGGCGGTTGGGAGGTTGGTTCTCCGAGGTCGGGAGTCATTCGGAGGCGAGCGAGGGGCGGAAGTGAGGAGGAGAAGGCCTTCGAAGATGCAGAAAACTTCGTAGAAGGCGCGAGGGCTTCTGAGAAGCCCCGCCGCCTTCTGAGAAGGTCTCACCCTTCTCGCTTTCCCCCCCCGCTCGCCGCCGATTCATGCGCGAGGCGTTTCGGAGGGGGCGTCGCTTTCGAGGGTCAAAGGAGTTGCCATCTCTTCCTCGGCGGAAGGTCGGCGGACGGCGGCGAAGCGATTTCGGCGAGGGTACCTCCCCCAGGGGAAGCCGGCGGAGTTAACAAACATACCCCCCCCAACGATGGCAACGTTTTGGGGTTCAAGTTTTCCAGAAACGGCCCCGTATCCACTGCCTCGGGGATGGATTCAGCATGGATTCGGAGGGCGCTGCAAGTGTACACACATCTATATTATAGTATATATATAAATAAATATATATTCACGTAGCAACCGGCAGATGCGGATAAGAGTGAGTGGGCGGTGGGGACGTCAGAAGTTTGCGAGACTCTGGAGAAGCACGCCGCAGGCGCCAAAGTTTCACACATTATGCAACGAGCCCGCTGCAGGCGCCGATTTTTTCTTTAAACCAATGCGGGTATGTCGCGGGTGGGTCGCAAATGGGTCGCGGGTGGGTCGCGGGTGTAGAGGGCAGAAAATCCACCCCAGCATAATCATCACCCCGACCAGCGAAGCCGTTTAGTAAACGCACAAGGGATGAATCGAACAGGGCAGGGCTGTTTAGTCAACGGCCAGGGCCGTTTAGCAAGCGTCAATTGTCGGGTCTGGGTGTTTTTCTTTCCTCCCTTGAGGGTGGAAAAGAGCCCCAAGACGGCTCCAAGAGAGGCCCAAGAGAGGGACCACGAACTGAAAATTCCAGCTTTCCGCCCTAAGAGGCCCACAGAAGGCCCCAAGAAGCCCCCAAGAGGCTTCAACAAGCGCCCAAGAGGCCCCCTAGAGGCCCCAAGAGGCCCCCACGAGGCCCAAATGAGGCCCCAAAGCTGCTCCCGAGACGCTTCAAAACAGCTTTCCAGAGGCCCCCGAGAGGCCAACCACGATTACACAGCTTTCTTCGTCGTACGTTTTCCCTGTCCAGGAGTCTATGAGATACCCAAGGAATAGGCCACTTTGGCCATACAGTAGGCTACCCTACCAGACAGCCTATCACACAGCGCACCTTGCGAGTACGTACGTCGACAAATTCCGTCAGACGGAGTTTGGCCACGACCGCTCCCCCTGGGACCGGTCTTGGGGCGCCCTTGGTGCCTTGTTGAAGCCCTACCTGGCCCTCCCTGGTTGCCTTGGGGAGACCCACGTGAGCCCCTAGAGGTCCCCAAGACGCCCACAGGTCCCCAAACCTGCTTCTCTCGCCCCGTGCCAGCAAGGCAAATTGATGTACACAGTTTTGACTCCGGCCGCCTCGCCAACGTCCACGACGACGACGACAACGCCAACGACGACGACGACGACGACAGGCGGAGTCAAAACTGTGTACATCAATCGTCGCTGGTCGTCGTCGTCTTCGTCCTTCTCGTCGTCGACGTCGTCGGCACCTGCCTGTCTTGCCCTGTGCCAGCGGAGCAATTTGATGTACACAGTTTTGACTCCGGCCGCCTCGCCGACGCCCACGACGACGACGACGACGACGAAGACGCCAACGACGACGACGACGACGACGGCCGGAGTCAAAATTGTGTACATCACTCGTCGCGGATCGTCGTCGCATTCCCCCCCCAAGTTGGAGTGGGCGGATTTTGAAAGATTTGCACGGCAGTGGGCATCTAAGAAAAACGGTGGTCGTTGGCGCCACGATGTGGCTCACGTATGGCCGGGAGGGGCTGTCCCGCAGTTGACGACCATCACTTTGTATGCTCCACTCCAATTACACATGTGTACTTCAATTCTTCGCTTGTCAGTGCACATATCACAGGAATGGTGGTCGTTGGCCAGCGGCCTCTGGCCCTCCCCAGGCCTTGAATTGATTTTGATTGCTGCGCACGGCAGCGAGCATCTTAGAATAACGTTGGCCGTTGACGCCACGATGTGTTCCACGTATGGCCGCCGGGCGCGGGGACTGACATTTCGAGCTCCCCGCCCAAAGAGCCCCCCAGGAGCCCAAGAGGTCCCCAGGAGACCCCCAACAGGCCCCCAAGAGGCCCCAAGAGGCCTCGAGAGGCCTCCAGCAAGCCCCCAGAAACGCCCAAGAGAGCACTGGGACTGCCCCAACAAGACCCCGGGACGGCTGGAGGCGCCTCGACAAACCCTCACAGCGTCAAACGGACAACGCGGGAACCAACGTAATGCGCGCTGTAGGCATCCTCTTCTTTGCTGTTCTGTTTTCTCGCAAGTCACGCCCACTTGTCCTCCAAGGTCGGGGTCCGTGGCAATGTCCGGTTTTTTCCTCCCTTGAGGGTGGGCCGCGGGGTGAGTCGCGGGTGGGTCGCGGGGTGGGTCGCGGGTGTGTCGCGGATGGGTCGCGGATGGGTCGCAGGGTGGGTCGCGAGTGGATCGCGGGGTGGGTCGCGGCTGGGTCGCGGGTTGGGTCGCGGGTGGGTCGCGGGGTGGGTCGCGGGGCGGGTCGCGGGGTGGGTCGCGGGGTGGGTCGCGGGCGGGTCGCGGGTGGGACGACAACAACAACACCAAACATTTTAAGACTGTTCGCCCTTATCTGCTCGAGTGTCGAATAACGCGTATTTCCCAAACCCTCGATGCCCGCCTCTTTCGTCTTCGATCGAAAACCTTTTGGGGGGTGTACCTTTCTCCCCTGCAGGCCGGGCCCCGGCAAGCGGCGGGGCGGCCGCGGACCGTCGGCCTGGCCAGCGGCAGCGCTGATCGGCGGGGCGGCCGCGGACCGTCGACCCGACCCCAAGAGGGACGGACAGGGGACCGACCACGACGACGACGACGACGACGACGACGACGACGACGACGACGACGACGGCAACGACGGCGACGGCGACGACGACGACGAGCGAAAGCGAGAGCGAAAGAGAACGACAGCAGAGCCACGAAGGACACGAAGTAGGCCACGAAGGGCGACAGCGGGGACACGAAGGGAATGCGTATGGGGCCACGAAGAGCGCGAACGAGCGTGGGCCACGAAGGGCAGATAATGCGGGGCCACAGAAGGCAACGATGGGGCCACTGAGGGTAGCACCTGGGCCACGTAGGGCAATGAGGGGGCCACGAAGGGCGACAGCGGGACCACGAAGGGCATGCACATGGGGCCACAACGGGCGCGAACGAGCGGGGGCCACGAAGGGCATACGTATGTTGGGCCGCGGAGGGTACGGACGGGGCCACTGAAGGCAGCAACGGGGGCACGAAGGGCAGCGAGGGGGCCACGAAGGGCGACAGCGGGGCCACGAAGGGCATGCATATGGGGCCACCACGGGCGCAAACGAGCGGGGGCCACGATGGGCATACGTATATTGGGCCACGAAACAAAGCGAGGGGGCCACGAAGGGCTGCAACGGGGCCACGAAACAAAGCGAGGGGGCCACGAAGGGCTGCAACGGGGCCACGAAGGGCTGCAACGGGGCCGCTGAGGGCAGCGAGGGGGCCACGAAGGGCTGCAACGGGGCCACGAAACAAAGCGAGGGGGGCCACGAAGGACTGCAACGGGGCCACGAAGGGCAACGAGGAGGCCACGAGGGGCTGCAACGGGGCCACGAAACAAAGCAAGGGGGCCACGAAGGGCTGCAACGGGGCCACGAAACAAAACGAGGGGGCCACGAAGGGCTGCAACGGGGCCACGAAGGGCAGCGAGATCCCGACTCCTAGGTAATCTGTGACAGAGTCTTAAGCGTGAGCGCGACTCCTGGGTGCCTGGGTGTCGGGAGCGCGGCGCCGGAGTAAATTGCAAGAAATTCCAACGCAAGGGCGTCATTCTTCAGTAAATTGCAAGCAAGTCTCCAGCGAGAACGCGACTCCAGAGCGCAGGAGGAGCGATTCCTAAATACATCGTAAGGAAGTCCCAAGCGAGAGCGCGATTCTTGAATAATATGCAAGGAAGTCTCGGGCGGGAGCGGGGGCCCTGGCTAAATTCTGAGGAAGTCTCAGGCGGGAGCCGTTGTTGTTGTAACCCGGGGGCCAGGGGGCCAGTTTGACCAGGAAGATTTTCTTTGACAAAAAACAAGGTGCGAACCCCGGGGGGGGCACTTTAATTGAAAAAACAATGTGCGCCGGTTTGGGGGGCATCAACAATAATTATTTTTTAAGGATGAGAGTTCAACCACAACAACAACAACAACAACAACAACAACAACAACAACAACAACAACATCAGCACCACCAAACACAACATCAACGGCAACAACAGCAGAAACAACCACACCAACCACAACCACAACCACAACCACAACAGTAACAACCACAACAACAGCAACAACAACAACAACGACGGCAAGAGCAGTCACAACGACAACGATAACGACAGCAGCAAAAACAGCAACAAAAACGCAAAAAACATAATTCTCACCACGAGCGCCTTTTTCAGTCACGCACCCAGGGACAATGAATGACCGTTCGGCCCCCTCACTGTGTTATGGGTCCACTCACATGCGCGCGCCGGAAAGGATGTCGTCGGACGGGGCTCGGACGAGGGCGAATCCGTTCCGGAGTGTTCTGGTACGCTCTCATGGCGTTCCGGGGCGATCTGAGAAGGCCGCGAATTTGGCAGACTCTCGGTATATCCTCATCGGACGTTATCCTCGTCCTGGGCTCGTCTTATGTCGCCCAGCTTCACGATGACCGCTGGAGGTCTTTAGTTTTGGTCCTTCGCCTCTTTTCTCACAGCGGTGAGAAGGACTGGTCCTAGAACCTCCTCCTCCTGAAAATCGTGAGCAGCCCTCTCAGGCAACATCGTCGCATCTTGCTCAGTCTGGTCCCCCCTGTGGCACTGTGCCTTCCCCTTTGCCCTCTCTGCCCTCCGTGTCTGTGCCCCCCCGCCCCTCGCCCTCTGCTCCCCCTTCCTCCTGTGTGAACCTTGTGCCTTTCGGCGTGCCTCGTGGGGTCCCGCCTCCCGCGTCCTCATGGCCAGGAGAGCCTCCTCGTCCTGCTCCTTTGGGCACCCACGAGAGCACCCCTCTGGACCATGATTCCTCGGGATCAATTATCTTTCAGTTTGTAAATTACGACATGCCGCGTCGCATGGAGCCCCCCCGTGCTGTCGCATCCGTCCATCATATAGATACCTTCGAGGCCTCCCATACGGGCGTTGCCTCGCCGTTTGAGGCGGCTGCAGGTAGGTAGTGTGGCTTAGAGGAGGGACTCGTTCCTTCCCTGGCTACGCTCCTCCTCCTCCTCCTCCTCTTCCTCCTCCTCCTCCTCCTCCTCCTCCTCCTCCTCCTCTACCTCCTCCTCCTCTTTCTCCTCCTCAGGAATCACACGAGGGCGGCGGGTGCCGCGGAAAGCTAAAAATTGTTGCCCCTTGATGGTGAGACCCCGGTCCGCCAAGAAGGCCGCCGAGCAGACCGCGAGTTGCCCCTTCATGGGGCGGGTTCGAACGACCTCTCGAGGTCATGTGGGGATGCTGCGGCCCACCTTGCGCATTGGCTCTCGGGCAGAGGCCTGGGGCCCCCGAGGCGCCCCAGACCTGCGGGCTCCCCCGTCTCGCCCCCCGGGCGAGCAGCGCCGACGCCGCGAGCTTGTGCTCCCTGGCGGCGCCCGGATCCACCGCTCCCTGGTTCGGGGGAGCGTAAGACCCGGGTTTGCCAGGACTCGGGTTCGCCATCGTTTTTTGACGACCGCGCCTCGGATTTTGACGAGGAGGAGTTTCGTGGGATGTCTGCAGCGGGAGGCCTCGTCAAAATGCAGGCTCGGCCTCGTCATTTTTTTGACGACCTCGTCGGGGATTTCCGAGTCCCCCGTACCCGGGTCTTACGTCTCCCCGACTGGTGTGCGTGGATCGGGTTGACCCAAAAGGAGGGTCCAGCGACCAGGCCGACAAGGGGTGGTGCAACAGATCTGGTGCACTAGGCTTGTGGGGTTGCAATACATGTGGGGCGTGCAATACATTCCGGGGCGCCAATGTGTTGCTGGAATTTCGCGCGCAATACAGCACTTGCAATACACTGCAATACAATTCTCCAGCGCAGTTGCAATACAACTGCCCCAAATCTATTGCACCACCCCCTTTCAGCTGGACCCCTTTCCCCGAGTGGATCGGGGAAACGTGAGACTCGAGTGGGCCGGAGCCGCTTTCTGAGGAGCGCGTTCTGGCTGTTGACGGTCCGGTGTACGCGGGATGTCGGCAGCGGGGGCTCGCCTCAAGATTCAGACCTGCGGTGTTCGTGGGATGTTGGCAGCGGGAGTTCCCGTCAACATTCAGACCGTGTCTCGTCATTTTTATGATAGCCCCGCCCCGAAACCGAGTCGCACGTCTCCCCGATTCACCCCTCCCTGGCGTGCTCGGAGATCGGTTACGCAGGCGGTCGACGTTTATAGATCCCCGCCTCGTGCGTGCCCTCACGCTCTTCCGCGGGGGCGTGGACACTGCAGCCGTCATGGGGCAGGCGTACCCAACTTCGATCAGAGATCTCACACAGTCGGACCGAGGTATATGATCGAGGTCGGTTCGGGGAAGGTGCCTTCGTGTTCTTCGTGTTGGTTGGATGTTCTTGTGCATCATGGGGAGGGCACCCTTGGGTGTTCTGCTTGTTTTGGCCGATGGAGGGTCCCATGTTATTGAGGGATGCTCCTATGTTAGGCCTCAGATGACAGGACGAATCGGAGTGACTGCTGGGCGTGACGCGACGAGGGTCCTCCCCGTTCGGCAGCTTTCGCGTTCGTCAACTGTCTCCTGTTGGGGGCCTCCCCAATTCCCTGATTCTTGATTGGGGGAAGGGTAGACACTCCTCGCTCGTGGCTTGGCCCCAGGGCCGCCTGGGCCCTTGCCCCCTCGTCGCCGCTCGGATGGGTACCCCGTACTGCAGGGTGATGATTGAGAAATGCTCGTGGGGGTCCCGTCACGCATG